TCTTAAATATTGAACCCCAATATATACAACAGGAAAAGAATGTCTTATTAATATAAAAGTGGTACTTAAATTAGAATTTCTAACATTTACGTATATACTGAGTCAGTGAGAAGAACCAGTCCATTTTAAGTGGAAAATTCTACCTCAGAGGCAATGGATGATAGTAGAAGTCATGTGAGAACAGCCTTCAGTGTCTTTCATTTTGTGTTGGGTGGTTGGCGGTGATGGGTTCTATGTCTGTTTTTGTCTTGGTGGCATAACAGCAGGAGAACCCTGACTGACAAGGACGAGTAGTTACAAACTGAAGCAGTCTTTGTTCTCATTGCCACTGTCTGATTTTCTTCAGTCTGGAAACTTAAGAGAGCAGATTCTTTTAAGTTGAACCCCCCGGTGTAGCTGCCAACTGCTTATATTCCTTATCGTAAGTCTAACAGTCACAAAGCACTGTAACTGCAACACAGCCCAGCTGACCACTGGCAGCTGCCTTGCCTGGCATCGAGCCCAGCTCATTTATTATCCTAGTCTGGCTGCTTGTACAGTTTTATATGAGCAGTATGAACAGGCCTAGATTATTTTTTTTTAAGCCCTAGCAATTCATGACACATTATAAAAAGTTCAATATATGCATATTTGTGAGAAGTTTTTTTTCTAAGGTCTACACAAAAGCAAGCATATGTCACAAATTAGCTTGGTAGTTTTGTACATGCCAAGTATATTAGGGCAGAGTTGGCAAACTTTCTTTGTAAAGGGCCAGATAGTAAATATTTTCAACTTTGCAGGCTGGCCATCCACTGTTGTAACTACTCAACTCTGCCATTGTAATGTCAAAGCAGCCCCAGTGAATGGGTGTGGCTGTGTTCCAATAAAACCTTGTTTACAAACAGGTGGTGGGCAGAACGTGGCCTGCAGACCATAGTTTGCTGACCCTTGCGTTAGAGTGTACATAGTTACATCAGGTATTTGTGGAACCCCTGATACAGATGTACCTGGCATTGTAGCAGGTGCCCAAGTGAGTTATTTATTAGGGTTTAACAGCAGTTCATACGAGTCTTATATTATATGTATTAAATGTTTTGTTAGGAATCTGTTGTACACAGAATTTTTTTAGTATTGAATTACACTGTAGCTGAATAGAAAATATTACCCTTTTCATTTTTTAAAGAGTATTATTCTTATAATGAATCTGTATCAGTTGCCTGGAGGTCTAATACATTAGAGGATTCATCATTTCATTTCTGTCAGAATTCCTATCTTCTCTCCTAGTATGCCTTTTAGTCAATCTTACTTCTTAAAGGCTTTGAGCCACACTTAACCCTTGGGAAAAGTCGGACTATAATAGAAAAGAAGAAGAGGGGATAAAAATGTAGCCTAACAGTCTAGTCACTTGGTGTTTTGGAAGATTATTAAGGCCATTGCCTTCCTGTGTTAATATTTTTTAGAAGAGACACACTCTTCTTATCTGTTGGAGTATAAGTTTGACTGAGGACTCCATCAAAAGATTGAGAGCATTTTAAATACAGAACTCACATCTGATTTTTCTGTGGTTTTTTAAAATTCGCCCTCCATGTTCCCGGCCACTTTAATTTCAGCCACTTCAGTTTGATGCTCACTAGGAATATGAAATGTGAAACGTTTTTTTCTTCCACCTGCTTTTTAAGGGGAGAGCAGCCTGTTTGCAGAAAGTGTATGGAAGTAGGGAAGCCTGCAGTGGAGTGACATGTCATTGGGATGTGACATGCTCCGTGTGTGTCGGGGTCAAAATAGAGGACGAGTACTTTGCAGTTCAGGGAGTAACATAACCCTCAATGGTTCTGTGAGTAGACATAGTGCCCTTGTTTGGAGGCAGTAAACAAATAATAGGAAGAAAATTTGTGCCCATTTTTTAGTCTGAACAATTAGTGTGACGTCATTTGGAGCACCTTACTTGCACCCATTGTTCATCAGCTCTCGGGCGTGCTAAGGAAGGGTCCACTTCACTTCTGCCACTTGCCTCTCGTGAAACAACCAACCTACAGCAGGAAACAGTACAGGTTCGCCCCAACCGTGCCCTCTTCTAACAAGAAGTGTTGATAGGGGCAGGGCAAGAACCAGACCTGGAGACA